CATAATACAAAACGGCCTTAGGCCCATTATAATACAGAACAGCCTTAGGCCCATTATAACAGCAAAACGGCCTCGGGCCCAACGAAATAAAAAATGGCCTTAGGCCCGTCATATTAGCAAACAAAATGACCTCGGGTCCATATCTCATGTGCCAAAGTTCAAACATATCTCATATAACGTAAGTTGTTTACTAAAAGAGTGAATAAGATCTTGAACAACATATATAAACACAATACGTGAATAGAACATGATATTACACTACTATCACTCACTATGATGCGAGTGAACGATGGTCCCCTTCTGTATGTGCCTTACACATAGCACACAACTTGTAAGTACATCACCTTTTCTTAGTTTCCTTTTATTTCTCAATTATTCGATTCGTTAAGTTTCATGTAATTAAATGCATTATGGGAACATCGAATGGACATAATAACACATTTAGAGAGTCAAAAGAGCGGAATTGAAACCGATTCAATAATATCTATAAAACAACAAAGCTATGTTCAATATACAATTTTGGGGGAAAAAAAATTAAGAAAATTTTCAATTACATAATTATTCACAATTTTCTATATAAAAACGGTGAAATTTCACAATTTATGCGCCAAAAAAAACGAATGAAAATTTGTATTTTTACAAACACATAAATAGATAAATATTATAATTTTCAAAATTCTCAACTCTAAAAAATTTGAGATTCTATTCAAAAATTGTGAAATTTCATAGTTACTCAGACACAAAAACAATGTACTTTTACAATTTTTCAATTTGAACAACTATTACATTTGAAATTTCATAATTTCTCAAACACAAACTTTGAAATTTCACAATTTAGAAAACTAAGAAATTTACTTCAAAAACTGCAAGATTTATTATATGCATAATTTCATAATATCCATTTTGATTTTATATATCAATGAGTTGATTCTAAAAATTTTAATTTTATTTAAAAAGAATATACACAATCAAAATTTATGACATTTTGAAGTTTGAATTAAACGAAATAACTAACTTATGTTGCTGAGTGTGTGACTAAGGCGCTCGCACTAAGAACAAATTTGTTTGAATTTTTATTAAAATTCGGAGAACAAAATTTAACTTATTAAAAAAAATAAAATATGAGGTGCTCTAGAATTGCCAATTGTTTGTCCATCACAATCTTTCTATTTAAATACTGATTGTAGAAGTTGGTAATAATTAAACAACAAAATCTCTCTCTTTAATCCTCTTATTAAAACTATTCAGGGTTTAGTACTATGTAAAACAAAATATCAACCCAGGGGTGAGTAGCAACCTGGTAAGGGCCTGGGGTTTAAGCCCCTAGGTCCTGGGTTCAACTCCCCTCTGGGCTAATCTCCTGGGCGTAGCACAGTTGGTTAGGAGATTGACCTCAAGGATGCCTTATCAGCTACTTGGTGTGGGTTTAATTCTCCCCCGCTGTGTAAGTCCTGACTTAAGCGGAGCTTGCCTTGGGAGGTCCGGACAAGCTTCCAGGTTATAGTCTCTTACTCGGAACGGACAACAGGACACCCTGGTGATCTCCTCATGGGACGTTGCCTTAGACCTACGGGAGAGTGGGAGGATTTTCCTGTAACAAAAAAAAAAAAATCAAATTGAGCTATCTTGTAGAACTCGCATATTGCTCACCTCCAGCCACTTCCTCCTTATCATACAATCAAGTACTGAATTAACAATCCGATAAATCCCTCATAAATCCCCTTTTAATACCAATCAAACATGTGAAAATTATAATGACATGCTGACAACAAACAATTTTTACGAAAAGGTGAAAAATATTATAAATATTAATAATTAATATCATAAATTTTTTAATTACTATGTAATCATTTTTAAAAAATTATCCTGAATAATAATTTCCCTATCAAACATTCCCAAAAAGTAAAAATTGCATGAGTAATGTTAGAAATTTGAAAAGATTTACCAAATGTCACACATAGATATTAAACTCACATAATTTAAGTCCCACTCTCATATAAAATATTTGATAAAAAATTTGATATCTTTTGAGTCTTTAACATTTTTCAAAATGCAGTGCTCATATAGGGGGTGGAACCCCAAATTGCACTCTAATGAGATCAACGTGGCCTAATAAAATAAAAAAAGAAGAAAAAAGTAATAAAATTTCTATTTTTAGAATATAAGATCTAAATTATTAAATATAATTCGACAACTTACCTTGTTGATCAATTCTTTAAATATTAATGAATGGGCAAAATTTAGGGAAAAATTTTGTCATATTGATAGTTATGTCCTAGTTATACATTAGTTGACTTGGTTATACATATTGGGGGTGTTAATTATGATATATTTTTATTATAATCCAAAAAAAAATTTGGTTATACTTTAATGTGATTTGGTTATAACTCATTTTTTTTAGTTATGACCCCGTATAAATGAATTATGTGATAAATTACATATGATATACGATTACATTCATAACATTATTCTAAATAATTTCAACTTGAAAAAACAAGCGAGAATTTACCATCATCAATGGATATATACAACCAGGGTGTGTTTGTTTTAAAGGATTAGGAAGTGGGATTGGACTGTTAGTCTCACCGGACTAATAGTCCATTGTTTGTTTCATTTTTTTTGCTCCGAACTAATAATCCCTCCGGGCTATTAGTCCCACAAATATGGGACTATCCTATCCCATGGGGGAGGTGGGATAGAAACCATGAGATTGGTATCCTATGGGATTATTTTGTGAAATGTCCATTTTACCCTCTATGCTATTACTTAGCAAACAATTAGAAAATGATAAAATAGTCTTTTGAACATTTATAAATTATTTTTTTCGTGTTGTTAATTTAAAATTATATATTAAATAAAAAATATAAATTATAAATTAAATTTATTTAAAAATAATAAATTATAAATTATGCCCTTATAAATTAAATTTTTTTAGTGTTGTTGAAAATTTAATTTATATATTAAATAAATTTATTTTTTATTGTCGTTAATTTAAAATTATATATTAAATAAAAATACAAATTATAAATTATAAATTTAATTTAATTTAATTGAAAATAATAAATTAAAATAATTAAAATATTGTGCAAAAAATAAAATAAAACAAATTTTTATTTAATCTAACTAAAATAATTAAAACATTAAAACTATGTTTAATATTGCTATTACTTAGTAAATAATTGAAAAGGATAAAATAGTCATTTGAGCATTTATCATTCTCCATAATATTCCAAATAAACATTGGATAACTAAAAATAGTTCAATCCAGACATCTAATCCCATGACTAAACAAACATAGGATACAAACTTAGTCCAACCAAATAGTCCCAGGATAATGTATCCCAGGACTAATAGTCCGATGGATTACAATCCCCCCTTATCCAATCCGTCCAAACAATCGCACCCCCAATATCATAGCTAGTATTATTACATTTTAGTTATTTCAATGACTAGCTATTAAAATAGTTATTACCAAATTATTAAAAGTTACAAAAAATTAAGGTTTTAAAGACTAAAATTTAAGGACAACATTATTTTTCAGGGATCAAATATTTTTGTTGCGAAAAGTTTCATTATTATATTTTTAGCAATGAAAATTAGATATTATTGATGAATTATCCTTTTAAGACCAAATGTTTTGTCTCAAAAAATAAACCATTTTGAAACCAAATTATTTTTTCCCTAAAAGTTTATTTATTTGTAACATTTTTAAAATTTTGTGGCTAAAAGCTTTATTTTGTACTTTTCATGACAACTTTTTAGCGACTATTCTCATAACGATAGAAATTGGTTCCTAAATGTCTTTTGTAACAAAATTTTTCCTTTAAGAGATCACAAAAATTAGTCTCTAAAACTCTTATATGTTATACTGTAACTACATTTGAAGAGTTTTTGGAGGCTATTTAAACAGTTTTTGTATATAGATAAGTAAAGTAAAGAGTAGCGTTAGAGAACATAGATTAAAAAAAAAAAAATTAAGAAAATAAAGAATTGCTTTCTTTATATGGGAAACCCCTCAATTGGACCATTGTTGGGTGAAAATGACAACTCAATTTATTTTGCTTCATAAACCCCCTCTGGAGAAAACACATAATTAAGTAAAGATAAATAAAACATTTTTTTTTCTTAGACAATATTGTCAAAGTACCATGTTACTGTAAACTAGAGTAACATGTTACTGTCAAACAGAGTAGCATGTTACTATGAGACAAAACTCTTTACATCAATTTCGACGGTAATATATATATATTTTTTAAAAAATTTCATAGTCAACATGAATCTTTTTTGATAGATTTTGATGAGAAAATTTTTAAAATATTAATTTTATTAAAAACTGACATTTACATTAACAATTATTATTTTAAAGTTTTATATCTTGATAATGATGGTATGTATTGATCTTTTCAAAAAAAAAAACTTTTTATACTTGTCTTTAATGCATTAAAATTTTATTAGGAGAAAATTTTGACGAAATCTCCCTTTTTGTATTTTAACTAGTAAAAAATTAAGAGTATAACTCACACCAAAATGAATCTGGTCAAAGCATTACAAATTTGAAACACTTTTTCTTGAATAATGTTATACGTACTAATTAATATACTAATTAGTGTATCAATTGATGATGTGACATAATTTAAGAGGGTTTTGAGATTTTTAATGTGATTAATGAATAGTGTCAATAATAATGTTATAATTAATATTGATATACTAGTTAATACATTAATTGATACATTTAGCACCATCACTTTTTCTCAACAGAATCACTACCAAGAAATGATATCATAAATACAATTTTGAGAAATTTTACATTATTTTATTTCCAATGTTTTTGGTCTATAATCACTCGGGTGAATGCACCATAAACTCACCCTTTGACGTTCCATTTTTTCCTTTATTTGCTTCTTTTCTCCACCGTCACCCTCTGCCTAGGTAGCTATTTAAATGGTTCGGACGTTTAATCATCACCACTATCTCTCTCTCTCTCTCTCAAAATTTTAGTAATGGCAACCATTTTCAATTCATACTCTGGCTTCTATCTTTTGGCATTCTTTTGTTTCATTCAGCTTTCAGTAATTAATTATCCCATTGCAGCCCAGACTAGTGGCCGTAGTTTTGGTGGTGGTGGTTTCACCGCTGAACTCATCCACCGCGACTCCCCACTCTCCCCACTCTACAACCCATCCACCAACAAGTTGAACCGCCTCGTCAACTCTTTTCGTCGCTCATTTTCTCGTGCCAGTCACTTGAAGCAGACCTTAAAATCTTCAACTGATGGTATCCAATCCCAAATTGTTTACGCCGGTGGAGAGTACGTCATGAAGTTATCCGTTGGAACTCCACCTGTTCCATTGTTCGGGATTGTGGATACAGGTAGCGATCTTACTTGGACACAATGCAAGCCTTGCACTCAGTGTTTCAAGCAAAATTTACCGTACTTCGATCCCAATCATTCATCAACATACAAAGAGTTATCGTGTCGGTCACAATTTTGTGAGTTCTTGGGGAGTGCTGATCCCTCCACTTGTACCAGCAGGGATAGCATTTGCCAGTATAGCACACACTACGGAGACAATTCTTTCAGTATCGGTCACCTTGCTGCTGAAACATTCACCTTCGAATCATCGACTGACGGACGGGCAGTTCCGATCCCCATCATGGTCTTCGGTTGTGGGCATAATGACGAGGGCACGTTCAACGAGACAGCTACTGGTATAGTTGGCCTTGGGGGCGGCAAGCTTTCATTCGTAAGCCAATTGAGGCACTCGATTCACGGAAAATTCTCGTACTGTTTACCACCATTAGATTCATCACTTTCAAAAACCAAGTTAATTTTTGGCGACAATGCAGTAGTAAGTGGTGTCGGGGTCATCTCAACTCCAATAACCAAAAAATCAACCGACACATTCTATTACCTCACATTGGAGGGCATTAAAGTTGGAAACAAGAGCCTAACATACACACCGTCTTCCAAAGTGAATTCGGTTGATCAGGGTAACATCATCATCGACTCAGGGACAACTTTAACGCTCCTGCCAAATGAGTTGTATGAAAAATTAGAATCAGAATTGATAAAAGTCATTACAGGAAACCGTACTTCGGATCCACTAGGGTTGTTCAGCTTATGTTATAGTAATAGCATCGATATTACCAAGTTGCCTACAATAACATTCAAATTCACCGGAACTGACCGTGAACTGCCACTGTTGATTACTTTCTTACAAAACGGAAATGGTCCAGTATGTTTAGCCTTTGTTCCTACCGATGAACTCCCAATCTTTGGAAACTTGTCACAAATGAACCTCTTGATCGGTTATGATCTTGTCAAAAGTGTAATTTCTTTCAAGCCAACTGATTGCACCAAGTGGAACTAGTGCAAATTAATTATTTTATAAATTATTTATGTATGAATAAAATTAAATTAGGTTGTATTAATCTTATTAAGTTTTTAAATATTGATTATGTTGGTGTTTGTTCATGCTGACAGTGTAGGTTAAAAACTAGCCTAAGAAAAGAATATATAATGTTTTTTCAATTTTCATTTACATTTTTCAAGATCCAAACACACTATTACTGTGTTTCTGCCTTTCATTTGGTTAGTTTCTTGGACAAGTGCCTCCTTGTCTTGCCAAAAAGGAAAGGTGAAAAAAAAAAATAAAAAAAAAATATGGGCATATGACCTTCCCAAGACAGTTGGTCATTAGTGCAGCAAATTGCGGGTTCAAAAATGTTGGTTTTGATAATTTAGTTTTTAGTTTTCTTTGTAAATTTGGCAGTAGAAACACCATCCTCAGTCTCGCTAGATTATCCAGAAACTTCTAGACTAAAGTTGCCAGAAGGAAAAAAAAAAATTGTTAAATTTATGTTAATTCGGCCTCTCAACGAAGCAAGAAAGAACTCGTGTTTTTGTTGTTAATTCATGTTAAACTAGATTTCAAATTTCATATGCATCAATTTTCATTACATGATGTACATAGACATATTTCATCTTGCATTTTCTCTGACCTCTAGGGAAATCCTCTTTCCCCATCCCCCATCCCCCAACTTTCCCCACACTAGCACAATTTGGAAGACAGGGAGAGAGCATGCAAAGGTTAGGGGGTGTGGAGAATGGCTTTCATCCTAAGCCTCAAACAATTATCTGCAGTTTAACAACTAATCAAACTCAAGCTTAGCTTTAGTTTACATAACCATACTACAATGTTTGTATATGAAGTTCAATTCATTAACTACAGGAGCAAATTGTATCCAAAACTGGAAACAACAGAGCCAATTAAAATACATATATGCTAAAATTGTGGAGCTTGTTGTATTTTTTTCAAACCTCAGGAGAGGTAAGTGTAATTTACATATGTTTATTATATAGCTCTAAATACATACTGATTTTCTAGGATTGCCATTCGTCTTCAATTATTTGCATACCATATATAACTACTCTCAAATTTTTAAAATTCATAATAAAAATTAAGAACCTTCCAAATATTTTGATTTAATTTATGGAAGGTCAAAGGGTGAGTTTATGGTGCATTCACACATGAGTGATTATAGACCAAAAACATTGGAAACAAAATAATAATGTAAAATCTTACGATATTTCTTAGTAGTGCCTCCTGCTCATAAAAAAATATTTCGAATTTGGAATGTTTTGACCAGATTCATTTTAGTGCGACTTACTAATACACCAAGTTTAAATTTACATAATAAATTCATATTTTAAATATTTCTTTTTGGTATTTTTTTCTAAGCATAATTTATGAATGATTTTTAGATTGACAGAACATTGAGTAGAGCTTATTATGGTTATTAATGTTTGATTCTATGAATCTTGTGCATAGAATGAGATGATTCTGGTTAATTTGCCAGTAATGTACCAACTATATATATGCATTGATGATAGTTAATTCTTGCTTATTTTTTCAAATTAAAATTATTTACAATAATGTTATAAAGGTAATGTTATACCATATGCAATTTATGAAATAATTCAATCATATGAGACTCATAATTATTTTATAAAAAAAAAATGAGTTATAAACAAATACCACAAAATGTATAAACCTAGAAATGAGTCTTTACTATTTAAAGGGAGAGATTTTGTTGTTTAATTATTACTAACTTCCACAATCAGTATTTAAATAGAAAGATTGTGATAGGCGTATAATTGGCAATTCCATATCACCTCAAGGTTTTTTTTTTTTTTTAAAGAAACATTTACATACAATTCCTAATTTATGACCTTATACTCCATTAAGTCCTACTAAGATTTTTTTGACATTCAAGTCTCATTAAATTTTTAATAATCTAAGTTGCTCTTTAAACATTGATTGTTTACCATTTATGATTATCTATAAAAAAAAAATATGATAATTTGACATTTATTTTGATTTTAAAAACTTTAAGATATCAACTTTTAAATTGAAAAACCTAAAAAAAAAAAAATTATGTGCAAAAAAAAAAAAAAAAAAAAGAAAACTAATTTTTTTTTTGAAAAAAATTGAATTATTTTTTTGTGCAAAACTAAAAATTTTGTGTCTATAACTTGATGATGGAACACACACCAAAAAAAAAATAATAACTTTAAAAATGAAAAAATTGATAATGTTATCAGTTTTAAAACTAGAAATGTGATGTCCAAAATTTTTGGAACATCAAGGAAAATTAAATAAACAAAATGACTTAATAGATCAAAATATTTATGATAAAAATTAGGAACCTTCAAAATATTTTGATTTAATTACACACATTTAATTTTTGTTGTACACTTTTTTTTTTCTTCCTTTTTTGATTTGTTTTGTACACTCGTGAGGAATATTGTGGGAGCTCCAAAACCTCATAATAAATTTGTAAATTTATTGAATTAAAAAATAAATTTAAATTGGCTAATCCATTAAAGTAATAGTTTTCAAAATATTAATAATTCCATAATTTATAGTTTCAAATGGAAAGATAAAAAAGTATTTCATATCTCTCCAACCTAATCATCTCCCACTTATTTTTATTTCCTTTAAAAAAAATTAAAACTTTTTTCTTACTATATTATTATATTATTCATACCATATATAACTACTTTCAAATTTTAAAAATTCATGATAAAAATTAAGAACCTTCCAAATATTTTGATTTAATTTATGGAAGGTCAAAGGGTGAGTTTATGGTGCATTCACACGAGTGATTATAGACCAAAAACATTGGAAACAAATTAATAATGTAAAATCTTTCAAGATTGTATTTATTATATCATTTCTTAGATAAAAAGTATTTCGAATTTGGAATGTTTTGACTAGATTCATTTTAGTATGACTTACTAATACACCAAGTTTAAATTTACATAATAAATTCATATTTTAAATATTTCTTTTTGGTATTTTTTTCTAAGCATAATTTATGAATGATTTTTAGATTGAGAGAATATTGAGTAGAGCATGTTATGGTTATTCATGTCTGATTCTGTGAATCTTGTGCATAGAATAAAACGATTCTAGTTAACTTGCCAGTAATGTACGAGCTGTACACACTAACAATTTGGATGATGCTATGGTACATTTTGGTGTACCATACATTTAGTTATGAACTTATATGATTTTATATCATAACCTATACCATATTAGTCATAACTTGTGAGAAAGAAAAAACAAAAAGAATAACAATAAATAAATGAGTATGAACGTAAAAGTGGTGGGTAAATCAGGTCATAACTAAGTTATTAAATAATTTTTTTCTTAAATTAGGCAACCGGTGTACCCGATTACCAAACAGAGCAAAGTGAGAGTAGTCCAACAGTCCCGAAGCCAGTTGGCCTCCCTCTCTGGGTCGTGCTCTTGCTCTTGCTCTTCTCTTCTCCTCCCTCCTCTCTTCCACCATAGCTGGAGCTTCAGCCATTGCCGAAGACCACCAGCCCCGTTGGCGTCGGGACCACCACTCTCTCAGTCGTGTACCAGGTTACCAAACCCAACAGAGCAAAGCCAGAAGTCCAACAGTCCCGAAGCCAGTTGGCCTCCCTCTCTGGGTCGTGCTCTTGCTCTTGCTCTTCTCTTCTCCTCCCTCCTCTCTTCCACCATAGCTGGAGCTTCAGCCATTGCCGAAGACCACCAGCCCCGTTGGCGTCGGGACCACCACTCTCTCAGTCGTGTACAGGTCACTTTTAATGATGTGGCTCAATCTGAGCCATTGATTTTCGATGTACCATACATTTTTTAAACAAAATGTACTATAGACTTACCCTAACAATTTGCAATTTTGGCAATTAAATTTGGCTAAACTTTTTTTAGTCGTCAAAAGTTGTAAAATAGGCGACTAAAAATTACATTGGTCGCTGTTGACTATGATTTTTAGATACTAATTTTTTTTAGTAGCTGTATCTTAATTATTGGCGACTAAAAAAAATTAGTCGCTAAATATGCCACAATAGGCGACTAATTATTGTTTTAGCCAGCATTAGATCTTGTTTTAAGCTACTAAAATTTTTGTTAGTCGTGGTATACCAGTTTTTGGCTACTAAAATAAATTTGGTTGCCAAAAAGCTAACATAATATTTGCAATTAAACTTTGGCGACCAAAGACGAAAAGAGAAATGGAGACGGAGCACTATTATAAATTGAAACGCGTGCTTATAAGAGGATAACGCGTGTTTTTAATTTCACTTTACACCATTCACAGCGTTTGTCAAAAAACGTTGTCTAAAAAATGTGGTTATAGGCAACTTTTGTTGTAGTGCGCCCTTCATTTGCTTAGTTTCTTGGACAAGTGCCTTCTTGTCTTGCCAAAAAGGAAAGCTTAAAAAAAGAAGAAGATGGGCATGTGACCTTCCCAAGACACCTTCCCAAGACAGTTGATCATTAGTGCAGCAAATTGCTGGTTCAAAAATGTTGGTTTTCATAATTTAGTTTTTAGTTTTCTTTGAAAATTTGGTGGTAGAAACACCATCCTTAGCCCTTCTAGATTATCTAGGAACTTCTAGACTAAAGTTGCCAAAAGAAGAAAAAAAATTGTTAAATTTATGTTAATTCGGCCTCTTAACGAAGCAGGTAAGAAGAGTGCTTGTTTTTGCTGTTAATTCATGTTAAATTAGATATTACATTTCATATGCATCAATTTTCTTTACATCATGTACATAAACATGTTTCATCTTGCATTTTCTCTGACCTCCCCTGTTTGTTTTGGGATATGAGAGGGAGATTGGGATTAGGATAGTTGTGGATCCCATTTAATGTGTTGTTTATTTACAGAGTTGAGGAAGGGACTGTTAAGCCGAAGGGCTTAGGACAGACCTTGCAGATGGGATTCGGATGAGCCTCCAGGACATGGTATTAGAAAAATAATAAGCGAACTAGAAATTTTTTATTTTTATTTATTTATTGTTTTATTTTTTACATGTCGCACATTTTTTTTTAAGATTAATGTTTATTTTTATTTTTTTTTTGTTAAGTAAAAATCATTATTTTATTTATTTTATTTTTTTCTGAAATTTTTTTATTTTATTTTTATTTTTTAAAATTTTTTTACATGTTGGACATTTTTTTTAAAACATTAATGTTTAATGTTTTTGTATTTTTTTTATTTTTTTATTATTTTATATTTATTTTATATAAAAATAATTTAACAATCCATACACTAACAACTATCATAAAAACAAACACAATTTTACTTAATTCCCTCATTATCAATCCCTTCCATCCTACATATGAAAACAAACGAGAGGAAAATCCTCTTTATCCATCCCCCAACTTTCCCCACACTAGCACAATTTGGAAGACAGAGGGAGAGAGCATGCAAAGGGTTAGGGGGTGCGGAGAATGGCTTTCATCCTAAGCCTCAAACAATTATCTGCACTTTAACAACTATTCAAACTCAAGTTTTGCTTAGTTTAACCATACAACAATGTTTGTATGTGAAATTCAACTCATTAACAACAGGAGCAAATATTTATCCGAAACAGGTAACGACAAAGCCAATCAAAATATATTTATGTCAAAACTGTGAGGCTTGCATTTTCTCCAAACCTCATACAGTCGTTGTAATTTACCCATGTTCATTGTATAGCTCTAAATACATCCTGATTTTCTTCAATTGCTATCCGTATTCAATAATTTGCATTCATCCTCAATAATTTGCATCAATACTTGGGAAAATGTCATGACAGATGCCTTCATCTAGAAGCTGCCCATTGTGATGGTTCAACAACCTTTTTAGTATTCCTATCCTACTGCTCTCATTTGCATCCTTCAGCACCCTCTTTAGCACTATATGTACTTACCTCCACTGAATATATACTTACCACTATTCTTTTGAAATAATACAAAAGCTTCAATTTAAAACTTCATGAACTTTCACTTCTCATATTTATATTCTTTGATTGTGATACCTGAACCTTAACTTAGATTGGAGACATTTGTTAATGATATTTGATTCCACATAAGCTGGCTAGTACCCAAAATTTTGAATGGTAGTTATATAACACAATACCTATCTAGGCCCTGAAAACAAAATGAGGCAATTCGTATTCATTTTGTGTTTCAATAACTCTCCTGATCACTAAGAAAAATTAAGCAAAAGACAACAAAGATGAAATGGGAAATTGATCTTAAAATAAGAAAACAAAAATGAAATAGGAAATTGATTTTAAAACAAAGATGAAATGAGAAACAACCTCACTCCTCAAATCTGAGGCACCACCAAGGATAACTATCAACCAAAACAAAATAAATATTTCTTTTATCAACATATTGAAACAACTAGAACCCTTTACAACATCATGTAATTGATAACAGAGATCAAAACAGCATAATATATCAAGAAAACCATATACTATTTTAGGGCAAATTACATATACACCCCTCGAGGTTTGGCTAAATTACAGATGCCCCTGAGGTTTGAGAAATTACGAATTCCCCCCTGAATGCTATATTTGCATAAGAAATTAGGGGATAATTTGTTATGAAATATAAACCTCAGGGGACAAATTGTTATGAAAATACAAACCTCAGGGGGCGGGATGTAATTTCCGAAACCTCAGGGGTATCTGTAATTTAACCAAACCTCGAGGGGTGTATATATAATTTGCCCACTATTTTACATTTAAATAAAATAAAAATTTGAACAAGGTTATGCCATGACAACCATATTTATTTGTTGTTCTCGTTGTCACTTAGCTCATCTTCAATGTCTGAAATATTCATTCTCGCTGACCCCTGCTTCGCCCATTTCACAATTTTCTCAGCTTCGCGATTGATTTTCTCTTCCTCTTTCATTGCCTTCTTTAGAATTTTCTGTTGCTCTTTCGCTGAAAAAATATTCAAATCCGACAGGAACCCCTCGCTATTCCTCCCCCAATCAACATCAAGTCCAATTTCCTTGCTATTTTTCCTGGAAACCCTTTTGGGAGAACACCAGAAACAACCTGTTTTCTTAGGTGGTGATGGAGAATCAAAAAAAATTGGAGGATCAGAAGGGGATAAAAATGACCCAGATCGTGATTTTGGTTTCGAACCCATTTTCCCACCTGGGTTTTCCTTCAAAGGTGAGAAATTCCCATTTCCAGCAGATGAATTCGACGATTTCGAAACAGAAGAACCAGACCCAGATCTCAATTTCGGATTCAAAACCTGTTGTTGGTCATTTGGGTCTTCATCAGACGGTGAATGTAACTGGGGTTTTCCTTCAACTGAGCTATCGAATTGGGGATTGATCGCTTTAACAGAGGGAAAGTGTGAATTGAAGCTTGAAGAAGAAGGGTTGTTCTTGTGATTGGCAAGAGTGGGAGACATTTTTGTGGTTGTTGTTGGTAAGGATTTAAGCCTGCGGAAGCGAGTCTCGAGGTGAGACGGAAGAACAGAGTCGGAAGTGAAACCAGAGCAGTTAATGGCGGCAACCTGTTCAAGAACAGAGTGATCCATTGCTTGACTGAGGAGCTCTTCCACTGCACACTCATCACTACTATCTGACAGAAACGAAAAATCCGCCATTGCAGAGAGAGAGAGAGAGAGAGAGAGAGAGAGGGGTTTGGCGGCCCCTTGGGGGTTCTTCTGGTCATGTCATGGAGGTACAACGGTTTTATCTTTTTCAAACTTTTGACTTCAATGGTAGGCCGGTGGGACCCACTGGCGCTGCCTCTCGGACCACTTCATTTTTGTACACCAAGAGAAATTATAAAATACAAAAATGCTAAAAATTTTAAAAATTTTATCAAAAGTTTTTATATGGGATTCATATTGTGTATATCTTATATTCATGTGAGATATTTGGTAAAAATTTTAATAGAAGATTTGATAAAATTTTTTAAGATTTCTAACACTACTCTATAAAATATTTGCGGAGAATTAATGCTAAGGACTTAAATGTTTGGAAAAATTAGTCTAGGGTCCCTCTCCCACTTTTCATACTGGAAGAGATCTACAAAATTATTTTTTGATGTCTAAGGTCCCTAAACATTTATCAGAGAAATTTGACCCTTTGTCTCTCATCCTCTACTGCAGAGCAACACTTCCTCTCTCTCTCTCTCTTTCCAAAACCCTAGAGAGAAGAGATGGGCAAAGCAGCACGAGGAGCCGAGGCTGTAGAGCTGGATAGGCTCGTCTTCAGAATCGAAAGCATATCAAAGACTCAGATTGATTCTATCAAGAAAACGAACGAGGTTCGATCAGCTCTCCATTAAATGCCGTCGCCGAATCCGGTTCCTCCACTAATCCTCACCGCCGCTTAAGGAGTCTCAACCGCTTCTCCCGGCTCCTTTCTGGACCCCCCTGAATTCGCTGACACTCTGAGAGGGAGATCATCACTAAATCGGACCTCCACCGAACACACGGTTCTGCCAATGGTTCACTCACGCTCGAGTTCGCCATTCGGTCGCCGATGGGAGTGCGAAATCGCACAAGATGTCCACATCACATAGATCCAGCATTTGACCCTATTGATGTCCCATTCAGTTCCATGAATTTCTTGTATTCAAAACCATCCATCCAAACTTGGTCTGGCCCGTTGGTGGACCCAGGTGCTATCGGTGCTCCCAGAAGAAAGAAAGATAAGAAGTCTGCTCGGATCAAGGGGAATGAAGGGTTGTAATATAATCTTTGGTTCTTACGGGAGATGCAATTCATGAATTTATAAGTGTTGCTCGACCAGTATGCCTTTAATACAAACCAGAATACCTATTAAATTGCATTGAGAGAGTGAAATATCTTGTGTCATATTTCTTTTATGTCCTATTTTTTGGATTGGCGAGAAGCTTCTCTGAGTTGCAAGAGTTCGTGAATCATGGTGGGGTGATCTTCAAAACCTATGTGGTTGGGGACTATGTGAAATGCGTAAAGAGGATTGTATTCTTTGTTGTCATGATATTTGTCTTCGAGTGCTCGCAGTCACTGCAAAGCAGGATTCTATGCTCATGGTTTATGTTCTTCATTAATTGATTTCTCTTTGCACAAAAACACATTTTAATATATATATATATATAGGTTGCTATTATTGCTTATTCACTCAATGAAATGATCTTCTCTCTTTGCTTTGAACTAAAATTTCTTTGGATTGGTCAAGAGAAATTTTCTGGTTTGAGCTGAAATTTCTCTGGGTTAGTCTAGAGAAATTCTCTGGTTTAAATTGAATTTTCTCTGGATTGGTCCAGAGAAATTCTATGGTTTGAACTGAAATTTCTCTGGGTTGATCCAGAGAAATTCTCTGGTTTGGATTGAACTAGTCCTCAATGTTGTCCAGAGAAATTTGACAACCTCTTCTTTTTCAACTTTCTCTGGATTTCCAGCAAGAGCAAAAGTTGCTTGAAGAAAGGGTTGCTACGTTGTCTGGAGAAATTTTCAAATTTTCTCTGGACCAATTTTCTCTGGATCAACTTGAGGGACCTTAGACATTATGAAAATATTAGATGTCCTTTATGCTATTAAATCTTAATACGAAGGTCCTTAAAAAAAAAAAAAACCTAAATGTTTTAGGGTAAATTATAAATACACTCTTTGAGATTTTCTTAAAATATAGATTGTCTCATGTGATTTGAAAAATTATAAATATCTCCTTATTAGAATTTTTTATTTAACAGAACTAACTAAAAAAATGAAATTCATAATTACTCTCCTATACAATAATAAAATTACTTAAATTATTAATTGAAACATATTTTTAATATCATTAAAAACTGTTAATTGACTTGATAATTTATTAATAAAATAAGCGATTTGTTATGAAATTAGAAACTTCAAGGAGTGAAATGTAATTTTCAAAATCATAAGGGTCGATTCGTATTTTAATCAAACCTCAGGGGTGTATTTGTAATTTATCCAATATTTTATTATGGGTGATGATTCAAAGTTTTAAAGTCGGAGTTCTAAACTCAATTCTAATGACGTACAAAATTAAAAATAAAAAATAAAAAAACAAACAGAAGCATAAACATCACTATCATTGTAGGGCCCACACAATTAGAGTTTCTTTAGAACCCTTACTTTAGAGCTCCCAACCGTTTTTTGTTTTATAAATATTTTTATTAAATATCTTACATGGATGTGGGACTCATATGAGACTCGCGTGATATGAGTCTCACACCTATGTAAGGCATTCACTAAAAATATTAGTAAAACATTTAGAGCTCACATGAGTATAGGATCTACAAATAATCCATAGGTATGGGTTTTACAGCCAAGTGAGATATTTGATAGAAATATTAATAAATTATTTAAGATTCCTAACATTTTTCATTCCAAGAGTATTTAAGAGTCTGTTTGGTAATCATTCCGTTTTCAGTTTGCAGTTTATATTTACAAAAATTTTAAAAATTATCATAAAAACTTGTTTGATAATTTTTTTGGTTTATAAATTATTGTCTCAGTTTATAAATTTGAGAAAAAAAACGTAAACTCAAAAAATGAGTTTACGTTTTCAGTTTTCAATTTTTTTTTCAAAAATTTTTTTTTAAATAATTTTTTTTAATTAATATTTTTTTAATTAATTTTTTTTCAAATATTTTTTTTCCCCAATTAAATTTTTTTTCAATTATTTTTTTAATTAATTTTTTTTCAAATAATTTTCTTTCAATTAATTTTTTTTCAAACAATTTTGTTTTCCAAATAATTTTTTTTTCAATTAATTTTTTTAATTAAGTTTTTTTTTTTCAAGTAATTTTTTTTTCAAATAATTTTTTTCCGAATTAAATTATTTTTTTGATTAATTTTTTTTTCATTTTTTTCAAATAATTTTTTTTCCAATTAATTTTTTTTTCAATTATAATGTCTATGATCTCATTGTCATAAATAATAAAAATAAATATAAATATTTTAGGCCTAAACAAACATATTTTTAAGTTTATGTTTTTAAATTTTTTTAAACATTTTATTCAAACCAAACACGTTTATAATTTATATTTTTCTAAAAATAAACAAAAATCAATTTATAAAATTTTTACAAACATAAACAAAAAACGTAAACGTTACCAAATGTTACATAAGTGTTCACACTTTCTAACCAATCATTATTTATCATGCATTCTCAAACTTCTTAATCACCCAAATGTGTTTTTCCAAAATGAAATATAGACGTGAGATAAATGATAAGTCCCACTTTTTATCCCAAGTAATATATACAATTTTTTAGATGGGCATTATGCTTAATCCTCAAACATAACGATATGATAATTAATTAGCATATTTAAAATTACTTTCACTTTCATATCTTCTTTAATAATTAACAAATCATTTCTCTTATATAACAATAAATCTAAAAATGAATCTAAAAAATAAATGTATATTATTTTCCTTTTGTAGGACTATGTTTGATATATTAGTTGACGGGTGGAAAATATAAAAATATATTTTAGAATGTGTAAAAATTATTTCAATTTTTTAAATATTGAGAGATACCCTTCCTTTTATAAAGTAGTAATTTATTGAAAATATAAAATATGTATATTTGTTATTGTGAGTACTATAGTATAACATAGAACTTGTTAAATATTAAAATATTATGTATAATTGAAATACTTGATATATTTGATAGTGTTCTTAATATTATTGTTAAATAAATTTAGTAAAAAGTCATGCCAAAGATAATTCATTGGCTATCATTAAGATACACAAAATAATTAACATTAAAATTTCAATACAACTTTTATGCATTTTAATATATTTTTTTATTTTTTTAATACATATTTAACAATATTACCGATAGGCCTTTGAGCTATCATTAGCATTGTCAATCAGTGTTTGTTATTGTAGAAGATTACATATACATTTTTGGACAATTTCGTGAGGAAAAAAATAAAATAAAATAAAATAAAATAAAATTCTTTGTTTTTTTTTTTTTTCATGGCATATAGGGGTTAAGACATTTTTGCACATTTACACTTCATCCTAAATCTCATTTTAATCTTTTCTTTTTTAATTGAACAATTAGAATAAGGTCAAGTTTGGCATACACAAAATAATCCATCTTTTTATCTTTTTGTCTTTTTTTCATCACATCACCTCTCTACTTTTCTGCACATCTTTTTGTAAAAAGACAAAAAGTACACTTATTTAGGTCATCTCAAACAACCCATAAATTACTAACTTCCCCTGAGACAATACAAGTTGAGATACTGTATAGTTGCACCATAGAGATAATAGACAAGGAAGGTTTCCACAATTATATAAAACCTGATCCTTTAATTTCCACATTGTTAGAAAGGGGTGATCAAGGGCAACATTGACATTTAGTCACTAAGGTTGCTGCCATCATCTTATTCTGTTGGCCATTCTAACGAATAGAAAATCTTATTAATAGTTTCAAAACTTAAAAAAACTCAGTGTTACTAAGCTTATGAAATAGACCATTATTGTCACGCCCCAAACTCGCCCCTAAAAGTTTGGGCATGACCTATTCGAAAACGGACACTTAACCTGATATACATAACATATGGGGCCTGAATGGAAGCATTATATATTATAAAATAACATGAAATAAAAAGAAACTACATCCATTGAGCGACCACTATCATGCCAGGATCACAAATAGTGCATCAGATGGTGAATGTTTACATACAC